GGAGGGTCCCAGAGGGCCCCCTGAGTACCCCAAGAGGGCCGAAGAAGGGGTCCGAGAGGGGCCCAAGAGGGCCTCAGCAGCGTATATGACTCGAAGCTTTGTGTTTACTTACCCCAGGCGCCCTCTTGGGGCCCTTCAAGGCCCTCCACACACACAAACGTACGCGCACGCGCGCGCACGCACGCGCGCACGCACGTACGCACGCACGCACGCACGCTCACACACAGACACACACACACACAACACACACAACATAACACAACACAAACACGCGCGCACACACACACACTAACACACACACACACTAACACACACACACACACACACAGACACACCCGCGCGCACGTACGCCATACACTTCCGCGCGCACCCATACACATGCACACATCGTCACATGCATACAGGCCCATGCAGACGTTCACGTGCACGCATCTACGCCACCTTCGATTGAATGTCGTGGACTGTTTGAAGCTGGTCCTCTCAGCTCTACTATGGTCGCCACTTCGTTCTTTAAAAATAGATACTGTCGCTTGTTGCACCCTGCTTTGAAAAGGGGTCCAGGGGCATGGAGTGCTCGATATGGTGCAACAAAGAGGTTGCATTTGAGACGCGTCTTTTTCCTCATCCGTGGTGTCATCTCGCTCTGGGGGGGGGGGGGGGGGGAAAAGATACTGTCGCTCAAAAATAGATGCTAAATAGGTACGAGTTAGACACTAATAGACACGCAAATCTTGCAACACAGCCGATGCACAAACATATTTTTAGACACTGTCCGAAATAGATACTTTTAGATATTATGACCACCAGGCCTCAGCGGGAGCACGATAATTTCTAAAAGCGTCTATTTCCCAAAGAAACAGATACTAATAGATACTGTGTGCACGGCGCCTCAACGGGAAGCTCAGAATTTCTAAAAGTGTCTATTCTTGTTTCCGGCTGTCTACCAGGGCCTGGGTGTCGGGTACCCCCGGGCCTTTGGAGAAGGAGGAGGAGGAGGAGGAGGAGAAGGAGGAGGAGAGCCGTTTGTCTCCTCGGGGGCGGGCCGGGGCTGAAGCTGGGGCTGGGGCTGGAGCTGGGGTTCGGGCCGCGGCCAGGAAGGCCGGGGCCGATCGAGCCTGGGGCCGGGGCCGGGGCTGTCCGGGGGGCCGGGGCCGGGACCCGGGCTGGGGCCGCGGCCGGGGCCCAGACTGGGGCCACAGCAAGGGCCCAGGCCGAGGCGGGGGGAAGGGTCCTGAGCTCCACTTCCGACAGGGAGGCCACCCCTCCTCAGTCGCCACCGACCAGGGTAGGGGTCACGACCCTCGGCGCTCCCCCGGAAGGGGCTCCCCTTCGACGTAATTGCGATATTTTTCGGCGTATTTCAGTGTGGGTTGGGCTGGCCTCGCGTCGAAGAGCCTCTCACATACGTTGATTGGGTCGGCCGTATCAAGGCGCTGCCCTGTGGAATTATATACCTCGCGAGAGCGCGAGAGCGTGCGTTGTGAATGCAGGACCGCCAGTATGGACGCTGGTTTGTGTTCTGGGGGCTAAAGCCTTTGTTGAAACCATAACCGCTAAAACGGACATTTTCACGAAGCCAAGCGCTGCCGTTACATGATTAGATTTTCCAACGTGTTAGGCTGGGGAAGTTTCATCCCCAGATACAGCCGTATCAAGTATCAAGATAGAGACCACGTGCGAAGGCCCAGTGTCCTGGAGGCTAACATGGTCTGGTAACGGATCCGCTAGGCTGGACAAGTTCACAAAGTCAAGCGTTGCTGCTATATTGCGTAATATTGTTTTCAACGTGCTAGGCTGAGGAAGGCTCACCCCAAATCGTAACAATTAGATATCAAACCGCTGGCCTGCGGCCTGTGGATGCGAGCGTCCAGTGAAAGCAGGACCGCCGGCATTGCCGCCGGTGAGGCTAAAGCCTCGTCCGCTGACGGAATCGCTAGAACGGGCAAGCCCACGAAGCAAAGAGCTGCCATTCTACTATGAAACTTTCAGACGCGCCGAGCTGGGAATAGTTCACCCCTTACACAGCCGTATCAAGGCGCAGCCCTGTGGAATTACATACTTCGCGCGAGCGTGCATTGTGAGACCACTGGCATTGCCACCGGGCTATCTCCTGGAGGCTCAAGCCTCGTCAGGGAAAGGCGCTACAACGGACAAGCTCACGAATTGAAGAGGTGCCGTTCTACGAACTAATGTTTGCCAACTTGGGGAAAGCTAACCCCCCCCCACAGAGCCGTATCAAGGTGCTGCCGTGTGAAGGTAGATGCTTCATGCAGGGGCGGTGTGAATGCAGGACCGCCGAGATTGCCGCCGGGCTATGTCCTGGAGGCCAACTCCTCGTCTGCGGACGGAATCGCTAGATTGGACCCGTTCACGAAATAATGAGCTGCCGTTCTGTGAATATTTGCCCAAAGTGCCAAACTGTGGAAGAAGCGCCATCAAGGCGCTGTCCTGTTGGGGTAAATACCGACATGCCATTTGTGCAGTGTGCAGGTAGTCAAACAAAGGGGGCGGTCCCCCAAGAGTACTGGTCGCACCGACCCCAGCTCCCTTGTCCTCTTGGTTGGGGTGCCCTTCGGACCCCTGCACGAGTCCTTAAAGGCTACCCCGTACGTCCCCAACCACATCGAGAGCAAGAGGGGGCTGTTGGTGTCACTGGAACGGGGCGAAGAGGAGGCGAATCGACGAGCCGAAGGATCAGGAAGAAGAGCGCGCAGGAGGAGGAGGAGGAGGAGGAAGAGGGGCGAGGAGTAAAGATGAGTATTAGTGCGGAAGACTAGGGAGGAGGCGGGAATGATATGATGAGGAGGAGGGGGAGCTGAAAATAATAAGGTGCGTGGAAGTGAGAGCAAGAACCAGCAGCATGCAGCAGCAAGTACAAGCGCCCAGCGCCACGCAGCAGCAAGCAACGCCGAACAGCATCAAGCAACTGCGAGCATCAGCAACAAGGGGATCAAGGAGCAGCGCTTCCTGTTGTCCCCGGAGTTGGTTTGATCAAGGATCTTTGCCTCGGAGACGCGGATATCGTGTCTTCCCACGTGCTCCCAAGGCATCCATAGGTTTGGTAAAACGTTTCTCGGAGGTGGTATCTCGGACATTTGGGCCGAGGGACTCGCGCACATTCTCAGAAAATGTGGATATCACCTCCAGAATCCGAGCGGCTCTGTGTTGTGGGAGCAGGTTACTGGCAAATCACGGTCGCCAGGTTGCCAAGTTCTTAAGGACGTCGCATCATTGCGAGCATCACTGCGAAGGCTAAACTGCACAGTTGCTGAAGTTCACGCCGCGAAGCCTCGTGGCCCCCGTAAAAGGGGGCGGCGGATTTGTTATTTCGTCTCGCCAGCACTGTTTCATCCGACGCTTTATGCTGTGACCAAGCTTCGGGCCGAATGCTTTAATGCTGTAACGAAGCTTCGGGCCGATGGCACCTAGTCCAAAATTTACGACATGGTTTGGAACGAAGAGTTTCAGGAAGCGTGTACTTCACCTGTGAAGGGCCGCAAGAGTATGCAGTTGACCCAGAAGCACATGCTTGTGCCCAACTTTTTCCTTTTAATCATTGGTCTTATCTCTCTTATCCTCCATCGCACATACCAGTATGCCAAGGCGGCAGGACTGCACTTTCAGCAACTCAGAAATCAGTCAAACGCTCAGTAAGGCGCTCGAGCTAGATGATGGTTCGCCGACCGAAAGTTCAGTGGAACAGACAGTTGGTGATTGAAGACCCGTGTCGAGTCGCAGGAAATTGAATTTTGCGTGCGCATATGGGGCCAGTCGTGTTGTTTGCAAAATACCGCGCCGAGTCAAGGGCGCCCGTCGGCGCGCTCGTGACTTCCTGGCCGTCGCCGTGCGGCCGAGTGGCCGCGGCCTGCCAGGGGGGCTTGCTCCTTGTTTGCTTATTGTTCCTCCTGCTCATATCGGCGCAGGCACTTCGCTGTCGGTCTCCTTTGCTCCGGCGGAGCACGGCTCCACATTTGCGCTCGTTGTGCGCCGAATTGCAGTGTGGGAGCGGTGTAGAAGTCAAACATGTCTGGACGATGGTCAAAATTAACAAACGACTCCGCAGAACAAGCAGCCCGGTGCTGCAGTTCTACGAAGCCCTAGCGTTCGTGGACGGCGGTGGCAATCACGCAGAGATGCGGTCCGTGGCCGAGTGGGCAAAGGCCGTTGGCCGTATCGCCACCTTTGGATCTACTGACTTGGTATCGCCCGATGAGTTTGTGGAATTAGGTCAGCAGCATCACTGATGCCGATGATGGAGCTCATCATGGGCCACGATCCATGTGAGGGGCGTACTGATTTGGGCAGCAGTCCGCATGCGGGCACCCCCATTGTTGCCGAGGATTTATGGGGCGTGATCCGAGTGAGGGATGCGCCGAACTGGGCGGGTCCGTATGCGGACACCCTCACTTGGTGCGGTAAGGTTAGGTTTTCTATGGGGCGCGATCCGTTTGAGCTATGTGCCGAAGTGTGTATGTGGGCAGCAGCAGCAGCAGCGGCAGAGCAGCAGCAACATCCAGCCAGCAGCGCACCAACAGCGGCGGGAATAGGAAGGAGGGGCGGGAGGGCGAAATGAGGAAGGAAGGAGGGAGAAGTGCGGCGCAGCGGAGAGAAAACGAGCACCCGACAACACAGCTGGACTGGGGGACATGGAGTGAATAGAAAGATAATGGCGTCCATGTCGACAGGCGCGAGTCGAAACACACTGGCCTCAGGCGGCGCTGAGTTGACGCACGCGGGGGGAGCGCTGTAAAAGTGTCAGCGGCGCTGGGGGATGTCGGCTTGCCGTGCCCGGGTGCAGCGACGATCAGGCGGCATTCGAATGCGCAGCGGCGGCTAGCCTCTTGCTTGGATTGGCGCCTTCTGAGTGGACGCATCAGTGCCGATGGGGCGATTGCTCCGAGGCTGCGTGTTCTGGAGGCCACTCCAACCCTTTGGATCACACTTTTCATGCGACGATTTGGGTTTTGCTGGGCCGCTCGGGCGAAAAGAGCGGCTGCCAGGGCGACTGTTTCGTTCACAGCGGCAAGCTGCGCCATGGAGGCAACCCCGTTACACGCGGCGAGCGCCTCGTGCTCGTCGGATTCATCGACGTCCTGGAGGAGGGCGAGACGCTCGAGGCGGACGACATGTGACCTGGTGGTCCAGTTCCCCTCGGAGTCCGCTCAGGTTCTCGACATTGGAGCGGCGTCGTCGTTGCCGCGAGGCGACTGAGACGCTGATCTGACAGGGTCGGGTCTTGGCGGCGAGCGACTACAGAGCGAGGCGTCGGGCTCGCGCCTGAAACTCGTGGCCCGTTTGCGATCGCGCGCGCGCAATGCCATGTCAGTCGGCTCTATTTGGAGCGGCTCCGCCGCCAGTCGCAAGGTCACGATGGATCTGGGTCGTCAGAATGCCGGCTTTGAATTAGTCATTTCGTACGCAGCGCATGGGCTGTCGTGTCTTCTGGGTGTCCTCTTTGTCCTCACCGTGCTTTTTCCCCCAATTGCAGGGCGACCGCGTTCGCAAGGGGGAGATGCGGACCCCAGAACATTTCGGTTTGAGGTCAAATCGACTGTACATTCCCAGCCGCTGGTAATCTCAAGTAAATTCGGAACAAGGACTTCGGAGCGGTATTCCCCAAACAGTTCTTGTACTTACAGGTGCCAATTTTTGTGTCCAAAGCAATTGGATGGGTCCCGCGAGGATTCGCCACTTTCCCTGCCGTTGCCTCCCGTTGGTGGTGTCCGGCGAGGATTTGCCGCTGCCGCTGCCGCTGGTGGTGGCCGGCGAGGATTTGCCACGTTGCCGCCCGTTGCCGCCTCGTTGCCGCCCGTTGCCGCCCGTTGCCGCCTCGTTGCCGCCTCGTTGCCGCCCTCGTTGTCGCCTCGTTGCCGCCCGTTGCCGCTTGGGGTGTCTGGCGAGGATTCGCCACGGTCCCGCTTGTTGCTGCCCCGTTGCCGCCTCCTTGCCGCCTCGTTGCCACCAGTCGCCGCTGGGGGGGTCCGGCGAAGACGTTCCCGCCCGTTGCCGCTCGTTGCCGCCCGTCGCCTGGCTCCTACCTTCGGCTTTTCGTTGTCCATTGCTTTCGTCTCTCCTTCTCCTTATCGAGCGTCCTGCCGCCTCGCGGATCTGGGCCATCCCGGGCCATCCCAGGCACCGCTGTCCCGGGCCACCATGGCGACCCCAGGCATTTGGGAGAAAGCACCCCGCCCTCTACCCATACATATATATATATATATATATACACACACCTATACGACCACCCTTCGGGTGATAAGGAGGTTCGGGGGGTGAGGAACCAACGTCTCACTCGATCGGTCTCACTATCGATCTCACTATCGATCTCACTATCGGTCTCGCTCGATCGATCTCACTCGATCGATTTCACAATCGATCTCATCCGATCTATTTCATTCGATTGATCTCACAATCGATCTCACTATCGATCTCACTATCGATCTCACTATCGATCTCACAATCGATCTCACATTCGGTCTCATAATCGATCTCACTAGTGATATCACAATCGATCTCACAATCAACGTCATCAGCATCATCATCATCATCGACGCCATCGTCATCAACGTCATCAACATCATCATCACCGTCATCAGCATCATCATCGGGACATCATCATCATCACCTCATCACCGTCATCAGCAACATCATCACCATCATCATCATCATCGGGACAACATCTTCGTCACCATCATCATCAACATCATCATCATCGGGACACCATCGTCATCAGCATTGGAACACCACCATCATCATCATCTCATCATCATGACCAACATCATCAACATCATCATCATCATCGGGACACCATCATCATCTCCAGCAGCAACATCATCATCAGCATCACCATCATCATCGGGACACCATCATCATCGTCACCATCATCATCATCACCATCATCATCATCTGGACACCATCATCATCATCAACACCAGCATCGTTATCAACATCGGGCCACCATCAAACTCATCATTACCATCATCACCTCATCCTCCTCCTCGTCATCAACTTCATCATCATCGGAACACCATCATCGTCATCATCATCAACATCACCATCATCATCATCGGGACACCATCATCATCATCAACACCAGCATCGTCATCAACATCGGGCCACCATCAAAATCATCATTACCATCATCACCTCATCCTCGTCCTCATCATCAACTTCATCATCATCGGGACACCATCATCGTCATCATCATCAACACCATCATCATTGGGACACCACCATCATCACCATCATCACCATCATAACCATCATCATCATGAGTAGCATCATCATCAACCTCTTCATCACCATCATCATCTGGACACCATCATCGTCATCATATACATCATCATCAGCATCATCACCATCCCATGATCTCATCATCATCGACATCATCAGGATCATCAACATCATCATCATCGGGACACCATCATCATTATCAACAACACCAGCATCATTAACAACATCACCATCGGGATACCATCATCATCAACACAGTTGCCATCATCATCATCATCAGCATCGTCAACATCATCATCATCATCATCATCGGGGCACCATCATCATAACCACCATCATCACATCGTCAACATCATTAACATTATCATCATCATCGTCATCATCATCATCGGGACACCGACGGGACACCGGCGGGACACCGGCGGGACACCGCGGGCCACCGGCCCCCGGAAAGGAATCATTTGGTTTGGCCGCGCCTCAGCCGGAGGAGACTTTCTTCTCGCCCGCCCACGCAGCTTCGCCTCGCCCGCACGCACGGCACGCACGAGCACGAAACCGAAACCGATTTCCCGGTAGGGGGGCTCTCCGTTCCATTTCGATTTCACCCCCTCTCACCTCCGATACATATGTATATATATATGTATACATATATATATATATATATATATATACATATGTACATATACCTATATGACCACTCTTCGGGTGATAAGGAGGCTCGGGGGGGGAGGAACCAACGTCTCACTCGACCGGTTTCACTATCGATCTCACTATCGATCTCACTATCGGACTCGCTCGATCGATCTCATTCGATCGATCTCACAATCGATCTTACTCGATCTATTTCATTCGATCGATCTCACAATCGATCTGACGATCGACCTCGCAATCGATCTCACTATCGATGTCACTATCGATCCCATTTTCGATCTCACATCCGGTGTAACTATCGATTTCACTAGTGATATCGCAATCGATATCACAATCAACGTCATCATCATCATCACCAACATCATCGTCAGCAACGTCATCAACATTATCATCATTTGCATCACCGGGACACCATCATCACCGCGTCATCACCATCAACATCATCACCATCATCATCATCATCGGGACACTATCATGGTCACCCTCGTCATCATCAACAACATCATCATCATCGGGGCACCATCATCATCACCACGCCATCACCATCAACATCATCACCATCATTATCATCGGGACACTATCACGGTCACCGTCGTCATCATCAACAACATCGTCATCATTGGGACACCATCATCATCATCGGAACAGTACCATCATCAGCATCATCACATAATCATGATCATGAACAACATTTGCAACATTATCATCATCATGTGGACACCATCATCATCAGTAGCCACATCATCATCAACATCATCGTCACCATCGGAACATCATCATCATCAGTAGCCATCATCATCATCACCATCATCATCATTATCATCACCAGGACACCACCATCATCATCAACACCAGCATCATCATCACCATCATTGGGCCACCATCATCAAAATCAGCATCATCACCCCATCATCATCCTCATCATCAACATCACCATCAGCATCGGGACACCAGCATCGGCATCATCACCATCATCATCATTAGTATCATTATCATCGATACACCAGCATCACCACCATCATCATCAACACCATGATCATCAACTTCATCATCAGCATCGGGACACTATTATCATCATCGAACCATCGGACCATCATCAACATTATCAACATCACCAGGATTTCCAACATCAGCGGCATCATTATCCTCAGCGGGGCACCGTCATCATCATCAACATCATCATCATCGGGGCACCATCATCACCATCATCATCAACATCAACATCGTCAACATCAGCATCATCGGGACACCATCGTCATCACCACCGTCACCATCATCATCATCATCCTCATCATCGTCAACATCATCAACATCATCATCATGATCATCACCATTGGGAAACCGACGGGACACTGGCGGGACACCGCGCGCCACCGGCCCCCCAGCGGGACACCGGCGGGACACCGCCGGGCACCGGTTGCCGGAAGGGAGAGTTTTGGTCTGGCCGCGCCTCAGTTACTGGAGACTTTCTTCTCGCCCGCCCACGCAGCTTCGCCTCGTCCGCACGCACGGCACGCACGAACACGAAACCGAAACCGATTTCTCGGTAGGGGGGCTCTCCGTTCCACTTCGATCTCACCCCCTCACCTCCATTATATATATATATTATATATATATATATATATACATATATATAATATATATACATATATAGATACATATATATATATATATATATACATATATACACATATATATACATATATACATATATATACATATACATTTATACACATACACATGTATATGTATGTATGTATATATGTGTGTGTGTGTGTTTGTGTGCGCTTGTGTCCCGAGGATTCGCCGCCTTGTCTCCCGTTGCCGCCTCGTTGCCGCTTCGTGCGCTGGGTGGGTGTCCCGAGGATTCGCCAAGTTGCCGACATTTGCTGCCTTGTTGCCGCCTCGAGCGCTGGGTGGGTGTCCCGGGGATTCGCCACGTTGCCGCCCGTTGCCGCCTCGTTGCCACCGCGGTGCCGCCTCGTGCGCTGGGTGGGTGTCCCGAGGATTTGCCACGCTGCCGCCCGTTGCCGCCGTCGTTGTTCCGTCAGTTGCCGCCTCGTTGCCTCCTTGTGTGCGCTGGGGGCTGGGGGCGTGTCCCCAGGATTCGCTGCGTTCCCGGCCGTTGCCGCCCGTTGCCGCCTGGTTGCCGCCTCGTGCGCTGTGTGTGTGTGTGTGTGTGTGTGTGTGTGTATATATATATATGTATACCGTAGCTCCCCGCATATGCGGATAAGAGTGAGGGGGCGGTGGGGACGTCGGCAGTTTGCGAGACTCTGGAGAAGCCCGTCGCAGGTGCCAAAGTTTCAAACATTATACAACTATACAACGAGCCCGCCGCAGGCGCCGATTTTTTCGTTAAGCCAATTTGGGTAGGTCGCGGGTGGGTCGCTGTTGGGTCGTGGGTGGGTCGCGGGTATAGAGGGCAGAAAACGCACCCCATAATAATCATCCCGACAAGCCGTTTAGTAAACGCACACAAGGAATGAATCGAACAGAGCAGGGCTGTTTGGTCAACGCCTAGGGCCATTTTAGTAAACGTCGATTGTCGGGTCCGGGTGGTTTTTCCTGCCTTGAGGGTGGGGCGCGGGGTGGGTCGCGGGTCGGTCGCGGGTGGGGCGCGGATGGGTCGCGGGT